AGGGCTCTGCCTTTGCCACAGGATGCCCGGCCACTCCTCTCCTGTGCTGTTCCCAGAGAGGCAGCAGCCTGGGCACCTAACGCAGCAGGACAAGAGGACCTTCTGGAAGGCATTGTTGGTGGAGCGCCAACGCATTGCTGCTTCTGAATCCAGGGACCTCTGCTCCAGGAAGGCATAGCCCCTTGGATGTCTGAGAGTGTCCGGCTCCTCGGGGCTGGAGGCTGCTCTGCACAGTCCCTGGCTTGCCCCTGTGACCGTGGCAGGCGCGCGCGCTGTGTAAGTGGCAGCATGGCAGATGTGGCCACTGCGATTGCATGGCGGTGGCGGCGGGCTCTGCAGCTCTTCACTCCCAGGGGAGCTGGGAGGCCCTGCGGTTTGCAGCGAGGTGTGGAGAATGGAGAAGGCTCCGCGGTGTTAATGACAGCAACCCGCACTCCCCGAGCAGCGCGTGCGAACTCGATCGCTCTTTAATTATCTGGAATTAAAGTGCTGTGCTCACCCTCTTCATGTTATGGTGGAGGAAATCAGGGCATCCATTAATTACCTGATCCATATGTAAAGTGTCACACATAATTTTTCCAGAGCAAAGGGTCCTTGCCCCTAGACCTGCATCATCTCTTAATAACGACGCGGAGTGAAGGCAGAGAGGACCCGGTCTTGGGAAGAAGACCCGGAGCCTGAATCTCGCCGAGGCCAGGGTGCAGGGGTGCCGAAGGCCTCCCCCAGGATCTCTGCGCACCAGTTCTTGCAGATGAAAGGGAGTGAAAGGTTCTGAGGCAGAATTAGCAGTCCGCTAGAGAGCTGTTCTCCTCCCGTCGGGGCCTGTGAGATGGAGAAGTGGGTAGGCAGTAGGAACAGCACGCAGAGCATGTTTAAGCTGCAGCATGAAAGGCCTGGGTTAGGGAGAAGGAGGATTTCGTTCAACTTTCTCCTGAAGCAGGTGTTTCCTGACCAAGCTGGGGAAGAGTTCTCCTTTGGGAGGATCTCTGCTCTAGGGACCAGACAAAAGGCCAGATGGTACTGAGGTCACACTGACCGTCAGCTTCAGAGACGTGCCCAGGCACGCTGAGGGTAGGGGACAAGAGGAGAGAGGCAGAGGGGCAGAGGCAGCTGCAGGTACTGTTTTACACTGCACCGGCATTTCTGCCAACTGAAAGTCGCATGGCCGGTCCCAGGTCCCCCGCAACACAGCCACCTCCCAGGTGCTTCCCGAAGGGCTTGACGAGCTCACCCTGGGCGTTGGGAAGGTTGCTAGTGATACCTCCCCAGCTGGGTTTCCTTCCGGTCTGAAGTGGGGGTGCCCCAGTCTGGAAGCAAAGCTGTGGGGGGCGGGGGCAGTGATTAAGTGGTGAGCAGCCCATCTGCAGCCCCAGAGCCCTCCCACATGCACCCTCCGACCCCCTCTCACAGCTGCCTCTGGTGGGTCCTATCCTTCCCTACCCCCATTTTACAGATGAGGAGACTGAGGCCAGGGCCACAAGGCAGAGCTGGTCCCAGCACCAAACTGCTGTCCAGGCTGTCACCCACCAAAAGCACAGCTGCCCATCAAGTATGGGGGAGGCAGCTTGCTGGTCTTTCTAAGTCATCTCTTGTCCCTGTTTTAGTCTCTTGGAGGTTCTGACCCACTCAGACACCACAGCTGGCTCCCAGAAAACAGGGCTGTTGGTGTCCCCATATTTCCCTCCTGCCTGCTGACCCAGGCCCCAGTGAGAGGAAGAAAAAGAGAAGGTGCCATCCCTTCCTCCACCTCTCCTGTCGCTGAAGCCAGCCACAGGCAGGACAGAACGCGCAGCCCAGCCCTCCAGCGTGTCCCCTATCTCTGCCTTCCCTCCTGGAGCTTCCCAGACCTCGGAGGTGAGTCACCTGCCCCGAGCAGCTGGTGCACAGCAGGCCGCACCACCGGGAAGCCGCTCCCTGGATGGCTGGGTAGGAGACAGGGCCCTGCCTGGCCCCCCTGGGTGTCCATCTGGTGCCAGGATAGGACCCGTTCCTGTGGCTCCCCCCCCACCTGGCTCTGATGTCCCACGGAGCCCCCAGCTGCCTGGGACCAGCTTCCGGCACAGTTGCTCTGCCCTGAGTGGGTGATGAGAACCATCTGCTGGATCCTGTCTCAACTGGACCTGAAACCTTGATGCTTTGAGAGAGGGCCCTTTAAGAAAAGATACAAGATTACAAATGCAAAGAAAGGGGCAGGAACCAAGGAATTGCTGCACTGGGCTTCAGTTTGGCCCATGGGGACACTCTGCTCAGCCCGGACTACAGGGGCTCCTGGGACCAGCCTGGCGCACAGGAAGGACCACCCTGGCACGGTCACCTTCTCAGTGGACCCCTGTGCTCACTGTTTATCGGACAGGATGCCCAGGTCTCTTGGAGGCCGCCTGCCCTCGCACACCCTGAACCCCGGCTCCGCCAGGTCCCGCCTCCCCTTTCTGAAGGTTGCTTTCCCAAAGCCCCTGTCCCTCAGCCCAGGCCCTGCCTGGCACAGGGCTGGTCACCGCCTCCCAGCAAATGCTGTCTGGGTTGAGGCCGAACCTGCGGGGTTGGTGGGGGGAGGCTCCTGTTTATCCCCTGCCGCGGCAGACTCGCTCACTCGCTGCTCTCTCGGCTCCTTCATCTAGAAATCTCTCCAACCTCTCCCTCCTCTCCCCCGCTTTTCCCCTCCATTACATCTTCCTTACATCTTCTGGAATAAAAAACAATTCTCTCGTGCCACCTAATTCCCCCTCCTAACAGTTTAAGACCATTATATTAAATAATGATAATCACAAGCATCTCTTTGTTCCATCTTCAACAGCCGCCTGTTCGCTTTAAAGCTCTCAAGCCCAAGGTCACAGGCCCCTCCACTCGGCTTAGATAAATCTCTCCCTCGGCTGAATCCTGACAGTCCCGCCGGCCGGCTTTGTTGTGTATTCTTTGTTTGAAA